GGTGTCAGGTTCGGGCTCCTGGGAGGCATGCAGTAATTGTACCTTGTTTGTTTCAGGTGTGATCCCCTGGGCCCGTTTGCTGCTGGGGGAGAAGACCTAGACCCCTTTGGGTGAGTGCTGCTGGGGAGGCAGAGCCACACTGCTTACTCTTGGGCTTTCAAGCCTCAGCTCATCTGATTTTAGAGTTTTCATCAGTCACTTGCTTCGGAGTAAAGCAGGAAGTTGTTGCTGAGCAGTGGAAATCACTACCACTCACTCTGCTCCACCAGGCCTAGAGCAGTGCAGGAGGGCTCTGAGTGTTGGGAAGGGCTGAGCAGGCCCAGCGGGCAGCTGCTCTGTCATATCCTTGTCCCCTGCCCACCCTAGTGGAGGACAGCAGCCCTCCCATGGGTGGGTGGCACCATGAGGATGTATCAGGTCTTATTGAAGAGTGCCTGGCAGGCCACAGACCTGAGGGCGGCCCAGGCTGTTCAGAGGTTCCCTTTGTTGAGAAAGTGAGTCTTTGAGCCCTATTCGACTCTTTGTGGTTCTTGTGCACCCAGTGAAGTTATTACAGCTTCAGCTGTGCTCTATCTTCCCTGAATGATTCAGACTAGATTTTAATCTCTGCTGAAAGTGACCCCAACTTTAGCATCTCATTTATGGAAATTACTTAAGTCTGCAGCACACCTTGAGCAGTGACCTCAAAATTTGGGTAACATCAGCTCCTTCATCCTAGTGTGAGCACATGAGTTCAATTTATGGAATCCCATGAGGGACAGATGCTTTCAGGAATCAGACTTGAGCAACCCACAACCCACAGGCAGTCAGAAATGTCCCTGAGACCCTTAAGGGAAGAAGAGCAAAAAACTAGCATCACGAATTGTCTCAATGTTATTACTAGTCCTTAGACCCAAAGGAGCACCCTACAGAATCCTGCAAGGATTTTGCATTAGACCTGGCAAGTTCTGGCTCCTGCTCTTGATCAGATTGACCCCCTTGGGTGTAGGACATGGCAGGGACCTCTGTTTTTGGGACCCCTACAAAACCAGAAGCACTGGGCAGAACCAGCACTGGGCAGGGAGGTGTGCTCTCTGTGTGACATCGTGTTCTTGCTCTTGCTTGCTTCCTTCTAGCTCTCACAGCCATCCAGGATCTGCTTGGACCATCCAGAGTAGTCATCCCAGCCACTGTCAGTCCATTCCCTCTTCCCTTGCCTTTTCTCTAAGGCATTCTTTACTGTACCTGCTGACTCAGCTTTTCTTTTTGTCCCAGGTATCCGAGAGGTGGCATGATTGTGGATCCCCTGAGATCCGGCTTCCCAAGAGCACTTATTGACCCATCTTCAGGCCTTCCAAACCGGCTTCCACCAGGCGCTGTGCCCCCAGGAGCTCGCTTTGACCCCTTCGGACCCATTGGGACCAGCCCATCTGGGTAGGTAGTCACTCATGTAGGCTGATGGTAGTGCGGCTCCATATGGTGGTTGCCACTGCCTCTGCTCATTGCTGCCAAGAGAATGGAGGCTCAGCCAGGCCCCCGCCCGATGCCTCCAGGGAGTCCTCCAGGAGCTCCTTGTCCCTCAGTGCCTCCCTCCTCCCAGCTACTCCCTGGGGAAGACTCAGAGGAGCTAATAGGACTCAGTTCTTGAGAGTTAAGTATGTGTCAGGAACTCACTGGATCCTGGCATCAGCAGTCTTGGGTGGGGAACATGATCCATGTTCCACAGATGCAGAATTCGAAGTCCTGAAAAATTAGATAACTTATCCTAGGTGGGAGAGTTAGGATTCAAACCCAGGCTGTCCGCTCTATGCACCACCTCATCACCCTGGAGGGCTGACTCCCTTGTGCCAGGCTCAAGTCTGCCCGTGTGCCCCGGCCCCTCTGTCACTCCAGCTTACCAGCCCTCTTTCCATTCTAGACCTAACCCAGACCATCTCCCCCCACCGGGCTACGATGACATGTACCTGTGAAGGCCTCGAGAATGTAACATCCCAGCCCTCCCTCCACTCTCCTGGAGCTGCCGCTGCTGGCCTCATCAGCAACTGTATTCTTGCGGGCTGGGGGCAAGGGACTCTCCCCATGTGCTTGCAGGCTGGCTGGGATGACCTCCCCACCCCCAGTCAGAGCCAAGGCACCTACTACAGCTCTCCACCTGGCTGCATGTAGGTCCGGAAGAGAATCAGTGTGTGTCTCTCACCAGCTCCTCCCCACTTCCCAGGGGAGACTCCGGCAACATATTCCCTCAACCTGATGCAGTCCCAGCTGCAGCGCTATAAGAACAGAATGCGTTTTGGATGTTATTATTAAGAACCAAATGTCAATACAGAATTCGTGTTGCCGGTTTCCCAGTCTTCTCCTAAACTTAATGCACAGCCAGACTTCGGAGTTTTTGTTTCTGTAGAGCTCAGTGACTTATCTCCTGCCCAGGGCCCATTCTTGCTTCCTTTCATAAATTGCTGTTGCTCCTGCCATCACTAAGGTAGCTCCTTGACTGGCTGCATGGATGCAGATGAGTGACTGGAAATCCCATAGGCCACAAGGACTTTCACAAAGGCAGACACATTGTAGAAAGACTGCATCACTCTAACAGAGGCAAAATCTCCCAGTTGTTCCTACTCTGGGCCAGTTCTCTGGGATTGTCTGTGCCTGGGCAGCAGTAGCCTATAAGCAGAGGAATAAACAGATCTGAAGGCTAATCTCATTGGTGCCACAGGCTTACTGAATGACATCAAGCAAGTCCCTTCTCTGCTTAGGGCCTGTGCCTGCTAATGAAATCAAAAGTGCCTTTCCTGTTCGAAAATATTCTGGTGCCCTTTCTGTGTGGCAACCCCTTGAACATGGGGCAAAAGAAAAAGAGTGTAGGTTTCAGGCATCATGTGGTGCTTACCTGTAGTCTGTAACAGGGTTCATTTGTCTCTGGGGACCCACACAGGAACATGGGCTCTATCTGAGTGTGGTGCTCTGTGGCCAGACTCTCCAGATCTCTGGTGTTCTCCAGATCCTCTCCAGCCCAAGGCCTGACACGTGGGCAGTGATGAGCCCCATGCTGGAGTGGAAAGAGCACCATAGAGCACCAGGCTAAAAGGCATGAGATCAAGGTGTCAGACACTTTGACTCCTCAGTTAGCGTTTCAGCATGTGTGCGTCCTCCTACTTCTCAGCTCCTTGGATTCCTTCCCCTGTATTAGGACATGTTATTACCTGCAGGCAGCAGGCTCTGAGGCTTTTCTGAAGCATCTGCTAGGCTGTTTTCTATAGCCAGGGATTGCCTGTCTGCTCAGCCTGAGAACGAGTAGGTATAAACCAAAGTGACGCACCCAGGGTTAGTCCCAGATGGAGACGGGACCTGGATGGGGTGGCTAGCATGAGCGGCTCCCTGGGTATTTCTGGCAGTCCCCATGGTAAGCAGTTATTTAGTAAAAGACACCAGAAATGGCAACTGACCACCTTGAAGCCTGTAGAGCATCTCTGCTCTAGGGAAAGATTTAGGTCAGGCAGAGGTGCAAATGCAACCTAATTGTAGCCTTCTGCCTTGAGAGCTGGCAAATGGGTGGAATGTTAATTTTTATTTTGAAATTGGACCATACCTGCAACCACAAGGACTTGGAACAACTTGCTCATAGAAACATCCTTTATTATGAAAGGAAGCATTTAAAGGAACATCAGACTAGGGACCATCAGACAGAAGCAGGGAAGGTAGATAACTTTTAGGACCCTGATTTGAAGAAAAGATGAAATTAAAACAATAAATTTGCCACTTAGATTTCTAATAGCAAAAGTCAAAAAGATAGGCATATCCATAATTCTGTCTTCTGAAAACAGAAAATTGTGATTCATCTGCAGAATCGGCCATTTGTGTATGAGTCTCCTTGCATCAAGGATACTAAGAAACACAGACAGTGTCTTAGATGTTATGGGGAGAAGCGAATGGAGCCTTGAAGGACTTTCCAGTCAAGCTCTTGGTGCTTATGTTGGTCTGGGCCACTTCCCTCCTTCCAGTCATGAATAATCAAGTAGTGAATGGGAATATTTTGGGTGTGTGTTTTGTAGAGCCCAGAAGGTTGAAACCTTAACAATAAACATCAGCATTCAATGACCTGTTCTTTTTTTATATAACAGTTTTATTAGGATATAATTCACATACCCGTAAGGTTCACCCTTTTAAAGTATACATTTCAGTGGGTTTAGTATGTTTACAGTGTTGCACATCCATCACCATATCTAGTTCCTGAACATTTTTACCACCTCAAAAGAAACCTCATACCTGTTAGCAGTGACTTTGCGTTCCCACCCTCCCAGCCCTAGGCAACCACTAACATCTTTTCTCTCTAAAGATTTGCCCACTCTGAACAGTTCTTATAAATGGAATCACTCAATATGTGGTATTTTGTGTCTGGCTTCTTTCACTCAGCATAATATCTTCAAGATTCATCAATGTTGTGGCATGTATCAGGACTTCATTCCTTTTTGTGGCTGAAAGACATTCCATAGTAGGGATACATCACGTTTTGTTTATCTGTTGGCCAGCTGATAGACAGTTGAGTTGTTTCTACTTTTTGGCTATTACTGGATAATGCTATGAACATTCGTATACAAGTTTTTGTGTGGACAGGTGTTTTCAATTCATTTGGGTATATACCAAGGAGTAGAATTGCTGGGTCACATGGTAACTCCATGTGTTACTTTTTGAAGAACTGCCAGACCATCTTCCACAGCAGCTGCACCAGTTTACATTCCCACCAGTGATGTATGAGGGTTCCAGCTTCTCCACGTCCTCACCAACACTTGTTATTCTTCATGCTTATGGCCATCCTAGTGGGTGTGAAGTGGCATTTCATTGTGGCTTTGTCCTCTATTTTTTAAAAGAGAATTTTGACATAGGCCAAGGAAGGCAGTGACCAGAGCCAGGTCCCTTGGGGAGCTGATCAGGCTTTGGCTAGTGTGCTGCAGAGGAGTTGGATTTGGCTTTTGGGGTGGTTCTGGGTTGGATGCAGGGTTCTGTGTCCAGGAAAGTTCCTGTGACTTTCTCAGGTCTTGTGAGATTCACAGCATCACTTTTGCTTGGTTTGACATTTCATTTTTCATCCAAGTACTTTAGAAGTAGAATAAAGGTCTGGTTCTAAATCATTGTCTTTTGGTGCTAAAGTACCATACACCACTCGGGCCGATTCTGGGATCTGCCAGCCGCCCTCACATCCCACCTTCTCTTCCTTAGCTTGCTCTTCCCCAGTTCTTAGAGCTGGCCGTTTCATCTCCCTCCCTCCTCCCTCCCTTTTAAGTCAAGTCTCATTCTGTTGCCCAGGCTGGTCTCTAACTCCTGGGCTCAAGCTATCCTCTCACCTCAGCCTCCCAAAGTGTGAGATCACAAGCATGAGCCACTGTGCCCGGCTAGTGTTGGCCATTTCTTACTGCCCTTATCTGCTCGGTCATGGCTTCTGTCAGCCTCCATTGTGAAGTCATAGTCTCTTGAGACCTAAATGTGTCTTGTGTGCTCACAGTGGAGACTCTTCCTGTGCTGACGGTCAGGACTTGTTCACATGAAGTTTTCAAAGAGGTCACAAGCTCCCCACAGCCCCACTCTTTGGGATCTAGCTTCCCTCATGGCCTCCCTTCCTACTGTCCTCAGCAACATCTGTTGCTGATTCATGCTGCTTTCCACAGGAGGAAAGTTAGACTTGGCAGAGCAGTTCATACTCTCTGTCACCTAATCTTGTCTACTTTTATACATTTTCAATAAGACAGGTCCAAGGAGAGGAAAGAATCTACCCATGCAAGTCCCCAACTGCTTCTGTCACAAAACTTGCATGCTTGTGGGCCACTGTTGACTTTGTGTACCAAAGAAGACACGCAGAGGCAGGCCTCCAAGTCTCCAGCCCTTGATTAGCCTTGGATACCACAAGAGCCACCCTGAATCACTCTAGCTGTGCTTGGCCCTGGATCTGTCCCGGAAGGTAGGTCAGAAGGCAATGGTGACAGGCAGGATGGTGCACATTGAGGGATGGCAAGACCCAGGTGGCTGAGGACAGACCCTAGAAGGCAAAAAGCTGCAACGACAGGTTTGGACACCCCACTAGTGGCAGTGCTGGTGGGAGTGCCGGGTGGAAGACCCAATCCCTGCTTAGAGCAACGTGAGGCTGATAGTGCTGTGATGGAGGCTATGTTCTAGGTGAGCCAGCTCAGGTTCTAAGTGCTGCGAGACAGTGACAGGTTCAGGGGATGAGAGAGTGGGAGGGTCCTACCTGGGTGGAGTCCTGAGCTTCAGCTGCCGTCAACAGAAACAATGTCAGCTTTTCAACCAGAAAGGTTAGGGTCCATCATCGGTGTCATAACCTGGGGATGAGGCACTGCAGGACCACAAGCTACTGCCTAGGTCTGCGCCAGAGAGTGTATGCCCTTCATACTGCCATCTGGATTCCATTTAGCTTAGTTCCAAGTTCAAGGCTCAGTTGAGTGCATCTCACTGTTGAAGCCTACATCATAACTGTAGCGGCAAGAGATCCTGGGGAAATGTCTCTGTTCCCTTTTCTCACCTCTCCATTCAGGAAGGCACATTGGGACAGAGGTCAGGTGAGCCAATCTCCTATGACATCTGTGCGATGGACCATGACATAGATGGGTACCACAGCCTCTCACGCCTGAGCCTAGCCAGCTCCTGAGATGCCTGCTCTGAGTACACATTAGTACATCCTGGGCCCCAGTCCTGACCTCCAGGGAAGGGCCTTCAAATCTATTTTTTACAACTCCTTCCTGTGGCTCATGTGATCACACAAGTTTGAGAACTGAGGAGGGAGGGGAAGACCTACATCCTTGCTATTCAGACCACCAGCAGCAGCAGCACCTGGGAGTTTGTTAGAAATGCAGCTCTCAAGCCCCACTCCAGATGCTGAGTGAGACTCTGCATTTTAACTAGTTCTCCATGTGATTTATGCGCATTATAGAACTTAAGAGGTTCAAGTGTACACATTGTATGTCTTTCTTTCACCTGGATATAAGGTACCAAGAATGGAGTCCATCAGTCTTCTCGTTAGTGGCACGTTATGATTAATGCATGTAAGAACCCTTTTGTTTTCAGTTTCCCCTGATTTTACCCACGGTATCCACTCCATTGCCCCTGTGGGCATGCAGATGTGTTTCCTGTATCTTTACAAGTGCAGTAGCCTTATAGGATAGCATGTGTCATATCTTCAAGTCATAACTGTAATGAGGTATGATGCCCATTTTCTAGATCAGAAAAGGGGTTGGAAAGGTTCAGTGATTTGCTCATGACCCAGAGAGTCTCAGAGTCAGGCAGGCGTGGGGAGACTGCCAACCTTCCCTGTGAGGATGAGCTCCTGGGAGGCTTCTCTGCGCCTTGGGGGTGGGCTTGGGCCCTGCACAGGATCTGTCATCCGCCCCAGGCTCTACTCTCCTGGCCTTCTGAGGCTAGTATAATGGGAGCTCTTCCAGTGATGAGGTGAGAATGCAGGTCCAGGGCTGCTGAGTAACTTGCCCAGGGCCACACAGACCTCGGAACACCTGACTCCAAGACCAGGGCATTCCCATGAAACACTGCCCAAAGCAGTCATGGATGTTCCTGAGTGACAAAAATACAAGGGTCTCCTTCCTTTCCACCTCCTTGTCTCCTCGGCTAGGCTGAGCATTAAGAGGAAGGTGCCATATGAGTTCAGCACCTTGGTCAGCGCCCACCCCTCCCGGGAGCCGCCAGAGGCTCTTGGGCCAGGTTCGGCCTAACTGCTGCTCCCTAGTCCCGCGTGGCCCGTTCCTGGGGTAGTGCCCGGACCCAGGTGTCCTGCTTTCAGTACAGATCTCTTTCCTGTGCCTTCTTCAGACCAGAACTATGGGAGCAGTTTCATCCTTTGGGCTTCTTGGTTCTCAGGTCATAAATTCAAGGGAGAAGCCTGTGAAGAGAAGTTTTGGCCAGAGGCCTGAGCCATGATCACCCCAGGCAAAGCCCTGCCTGCTTTGGCTTTCCCCATCTGTAAAATGGAGATAAGGGTGGAGCCGACTATCCCGAGACCCTGCCCACGTGTGAGATGCCATGGGCCTGACTGAGCTCAGCACTCCCCGCCTGCCCTCCTTCCCCACAGAGCTTCCCAATTCACACGTAAACCATAGGGTTCAAGGTGGTGCTCACAGCCCAGATCCACCCCCACATGTGCCCTGACAGGCCTGCATGGTAATAAATTTGGTAAGATGCATGAGGGCGTGTAGTAAACATGAGTCTCAACTCTGCTCTTCACCAGCGGTGAGACATTTGGCAAGTCACTAACTTTCCTGTGCCAGCTTGTCCTCGTATGTGAAATGGAGGGAATGACAGGACCCCTCCAGAGGGTTGTTGTGAGGCTTAAATGGCCTAGAAGATGTCAAGACCTAGAAGAGGGTCCGGCACAGAGAGAATGATTAGAATCAGAGGACTTCACATGTAGAGGGAGTAGCTTGTTAACTGCTGTGTATAAACATGAAGGGTTTTTATCTGACTGACCTCTGTCAAATTCTCCTTTTTCATCTCAGCATCTTGGGCCCACCCATAACTAACTGGTTTTCAAACTCAGGCCAGTCCAGTCTAAACTTCCCTGCTCACATCCAGTTCCCAGAGGACTCTCCTGGCTCCTGCCCCTCCAGTGTGGAGGGGGGTGAGAAGTGTGAAGTGTCTTCACTGGCCATGATGATGAGAGTGGTGGAAGGAGGCAGTTTGTTTTTGTTGTTTTAGAGACAGGGTCTTGCTTGTTGAGCAATCCTCCTGCCTCAGCCACCCGAGAAGCTGGAGGTGTTCTTACACCAATTCATACTAGGTCTGGGGGTGGGGTGTGATTTTTTGAGGCTCAGTAGACCGTACACATACTTTTAGAGGGATGAGTACTTTGCCTGGGACCCTCAGGAAGGAGTGGAAGTCTGTCCACCAGAGGCCCACACTCATCTCCTTGTCATAGTATGCTGTCTCCATAGTCACCTGGCCACTACAGCTCCCAGCATCATCTTATCATCACCCGGAGCCCGTGGAACACAGAGGGTCTCCACCTGCTCTCGAGGCCTCAGAACACTGGGAGGGGATGTAGGACTGCCCTCCCTTCTCCCTGATCCCAGCCCCAGCCACTC